AACAGATTCCTCTTTTTGTTTTTAATTAAGGATTTAGTGCTAACGGGTAACCCCAAACCCTAGTTTAGGGTTTAGGGTTTTGGGTTTGGGGCTCAGGGGCTGCAGTTGCTCTCGCTCTCGAGGTTTGTGTAGAGTTTGCATGCAGTAGGGTTTAGGGTTTAGGGTTTAGGGTTTAGGATTTAGAGCCTAGGGTTTAAGATTTCAGGGTTTATGCTTTTTCTCTACATTTTGTCTCAACAGGAAGCCATGCACGCGCCCTGGGTCTGGGGCCCAGCGCTTAGGGTTTAGGGTTTAGGGTTTAGGGTTTAGGGTTTGACGACTTCGACAAAATGGAGGATATATTTTTTCATATGCTCTTTGTGGTGCCTCTCACCAGGTGGATCACAAATATAGGTGAGGAGAGCTTAGAGTTTAGGGTTTAGGGTTTAGGGTTTAGGGTTCCTTTTCACGGGGCCCAGGGCTTTAAAGTTACTGTTTAGGGTTTAGGGTTTACAGTTTAGGAGCTCCAGGCAGGTGCTCAGAGGGGTGGGTTTAGGGTTTAGGCTCAAGGGACTAGGGTCTAGGGTTTAGGGTTTAGGGTTTGGAGTTTAGGGCTTGTTCAAAGTGACTGAACAGGCATTTGGAGCTTCACCATTGCGAAGCCGCAGGGAGAAGGGAAGTCATCCTCAAGGGCTAGGGTTTAGGGTTTAGGGTTTAGGGTTTTGGGTTTGGGGTTTGGGTTTTTGTCTACTGTCGCCTTCAGAGAGACCATGGAACCGGAAGTCCACCAAAGTTGGTAAGCCCAGTGTTGAGCCCTTAGGGTTTAGGGTTTAGGGTTTAGGGTTTAGGGTTTGGGGTTTTTGCTGTTTGCCTGCGCGCAGGAGCCACGATAGCTCTTATCGCTCTCTTCGCCATAGGAGTTCTCCAGGTGAGTCCCAAACCCTAAACCCTAAACCCTAAAAGATGGTTTTATCTGCAAACCCTAAACCCTAAACCCTAAACCCTAATGAGCGCAGCTTCCACTAGGGTTTAGGGTTCAGCGAGTTTGCAGCTTCTGGGGTTTAGGGTTTAAGGCGCGGGATGGCCGCAGCGACGTGGCAGCCCAACACCTAGGGCTCACGGCTTAGGGTTTAGGGTTTAGGGTTTAGGGTTTAGGGTTTGCGTTTAGTCAAGCCGCGCGCCAAACCACTTCGAAACCATCGGAGTCCCTCCAAACGCTCCTCCCCGAGTTGTGTCTTCTGCCTACCGCAGACTTTCTCTAATGTACCATCCAGTAAGAAACCCTAAACCCTAAACCCTAAACCCTAGTTTTTGGCTCTGGGGTGCAAACCCTGGGGCGGTCTGCATAGGGTTTAGGGTTTAGGGTTTGGGGTTTGCGTGACAGGACAAAAACCCTTCGATGGAGGCAAAAGAAATGTTTGCAAAGATTCGCGAGGTTAGTACATCAGACGCCAGCCAATCTAGGGTTTAGGGTTTAGGGTTTGGGGTTTAGAGTTTGGAGTGTTTTCATTCCCCTGCCACTCGCTGCTGCTTCCCCTGGAAGCAGCTTCGTTCCTTCTTGTGTCCCCCAGCCCTCCCACCCCAAACCCCCCTTTTAGGGTTTAGGGTTTAGGGTTTAGGGTTTGTGGGCATGTGGAGCAGTTCTTGTGTTTTTTTCGTTTTTCCTCCTCCCTGCGCCTGGGGTTTTCGCCGGCAGGCTTGCAACCCTGCTCCCCAGTGCCGAGTGCCCAGGCTTCAGGGGTTAGGGTTTAGGGTTTAGGGTTTAGGGTTTAGGGTTTAGGGTTTAGGGTTTAGGG